CCAGTCACCTATCCCAGCCAACAGCCAACAGCTCCCCTACCCCAGTCACCCATCCCAGCCAACAGCTCCCCCACCCCAGTCACCTATCCCAGCCAACATCTTCCCCAACCTAGTCACCTATCCTAGACAACCAGCCCTCCATCACCTTTCCCTTCCAACAGCCACCTTACCCTCACACCAGTCACCTCTCCCATCCAACAGCCAACAGCTCCTCCATCCCAGTCAGTTATTCCAGCCAACAGTCAACCAACCCCCATCACCTATCCCAGCCAACACCTCCCCCACCCCAGTCACCTATCCCATCAAACACCCCCACCCCATCCCAGTAACCTATCCCATTCAAAAACCACTCACCCCAGCCCAGTCACCCATCTCATCCAACAGCCACCCACCCCACCCCAGCCACTTATCCCATCCAACAGCAAACCACCCCCTCCATCCCACCCACCTATCCCATCCAACCACCAACCAGTCCCCATATCCCAATCACCTATCTCTTCCAACAGCCAAACAGCCCTTGCACCACAATCACATATCCCATCCAACCACCACCCCACCCCACGCCAGCCACCTATCCCAGCCAACCAGCCCCTAAACTCAGTCATCTATCTCATCCAACAGCCAACCAGCCACCCCACCCAGACCCAATCACCTATCCCATCCAACAGCCAACTGGCCACCCCACCTCAGTCACCTATCCCATCCAACAGCCAACCGGCCACCCCACCCAGACCCAATCACCTCTCCCATCCAACAGCCTACCAGCCACACTACTCCAATCATCTACCCCATCCACCAGGTAGGCAGCCACCCCAATCACCTATCACATCCTAAGAGCTAGCCAGTCACCCTACCATTGCGATCAATCTAATTCCAGCAGACGCAGCTAACTCGTCGCTCCATCCAGTCTATCCCCATCTCAACCACCTATCTTATTCCAACAGCTACTCAGCCTCCACCTATAACTCCCACCCCCATGCCTAATCACCTACTCTACCCCAACAGCTACTCAGCCTCCACCTATACCTCCCACCCCCATGCCTAATCACCTATTCTATCCCAACAGCTAACCAGTCGCCACACATACCTTCCACCCCCATGCCTAATCACCTATCCTACCCCAACAGCTAACCAGCCATCTGACCCCCATATACCTCCTACCACATCCCCACAAGACCCCCCCCATCACTAGCCAGTTACCCCTCGCCTATGTCTTTTATCCCAACAACTACTGTATTGGAACAGTTAAAGAGCCCCTTCACCCCACATATCTCCTACCACCGCGCCCCCACATACTCCCACCTTAGTCATCTACCCTATTCGAACAGCTAACCAGCCCCTCCATACTATCACCCCCTCGCTATCCATGGCCAAGCCAGCCCCAGTTCCCCTGTCAGCCAAATCTAGCCAGGCATTTAGCTTCTGGCTGCAAACACACAACCGGTCCCCTCGGCTCTTTAGGGCTTCACCCTGTGCCTATGCGTTGCCCCAACTCCCTTCCTGAAGTCTTTCCAGCAGCTTCAATTCTTTTGAAAGGGGATCCCGGTACAGTGCATGATTTTGCCATTCACACGGGCGGTGTGTCCTGCCCACGTTTAGAAAGGTTTAAATCTTTTCTCTTACACGATTCCAGAAATAGGGATTGCTGTATTTTTATTTCATTTATAACCGTCAGGCAATATTTATTTTTAATTATTTAGTCACGTCTTTCCAGAACTCTTTTTGAACCAGTCCAGGGTGCAACCCATGTACTTGTTCTAGTTATCTTCCTGCTGACTTCTGAAAAAACAACAACCCAGGAGTCACTGGCAGGAATTTGATCCATAATTTGGAGATTCTTTTCCGCTTTCCGGGACATTTACTCAAGTCGCTAACGTCAGATAAATAATTCAAAACAATAACATTGAAAAGAAAAAAAAAACCCCAAACAAAACCATTTTCTATTGGAAAAAAACCAACTAAAATAACCCAGAAACAATTCCTAAGGGTTTAAAAGCGCCCGAAACTGAATTCAAATGAATTAAAAATGAAAAGATTGTGTCTTGTAAATAATAAGGCTATTTTAAAGCAGATCTTGAAATATGTATACAATATTGTTTCCTATTAGAACAATTGATGATGTTTTCTGAAACGAGCTTGCACAATTATACTCATGGCGAAATAGATGGGTCTATTTTACGTAGCTTTCTAAATATCTTAAAGCAAAACTTGGAAAGGGAATAGATTTTAAAAAAATATATATTTGGTTAGCTTCTTTATATTTTTGATATTTAAACGGCTAAAGGCTGGAAAATGAGCGACTGAGCGAATGTTCCCCATCTCTGTATCATATTCATTATATTAATTATTAGAAACGATTCAGAAAATCCTTTTCTGATGCCCCATCTAACGCGCTACTTCTTCAAGGGAAATACAAATCGTTTCTTGCGGCTTATCTATTAATTTAAGCTGCCCCAAGACAGATAATCTTTCAAGTAGATCATTTCCTATGTTGCAATCTGAAGAATAATGTAAAGGCAAAAACATCCTCATAAAACAAAGCATCCCCGAAATGGCAACAAAACCCATGTCCGCCGCAATGGCTCCAAGACACAGAAATAGCGTTCGTATCTTTAAGGTTTGACCTGGGGACAAAAGGCGAGCACGTACTGGAATTGGGGCAAGGGCGCCGATTTTAAGGGACTAACTGCATTAATTTCCGCCTCCCTTCTGTATTTATGGCAGTGCCAGTGAAAGCCAACAGCGTCCATGGTACGCATTGCAACCTTTCAAAGTATTAAAAAGCAGGTCTATTGCTCAGCTGGAGGGCAAGGCGGCTCTGCCAGCTTTATCCCAGCCGCCAAGCGTCCCCTGCTCGCGGAGGAGAAGAACCAGGCTAAGGGAAAATCAGGAAAACAGCACAGTACCGACCTGTTCTTAGCGGCTGCTGCCCTGTCTCTTTGTCTGCGGTTTTTGAACCAGTTGCCCACTTGTGTAGGGGTAAGTCCGGTAGCCTGGGCCAGTTCTCGCTTTTTGCTGGGGTTGGGGTAAGGGTCCTGCAGGTACCACTCCCGTAGCAAGTGCCTCGTCCTCTCCTTGAAGCAATGCGTCTTCTGCTCCCCGTCCCAGATGGTGCGGGGCAACGGGAACTTCTTCCGCACCCGGTACTTGTCCACGGGCCCCAGGGGTCGGCCCCGCAGCTTCTCGGCCTCCTGGTAATGCGCCTCCAGCCAGAGGGCCTGGAGCTTGGCGTGCGACTCCTTGGTGAACTTGTGGTTCTCCAGGATGTGGTAGAGCTCCCGGTAGTTCCCCGTGTGGAAGGCCACGATGGCCCGGGCTCTCAGCACCGACTCGTTCTTGTTCAGGGCCTCGCATGCCGCAGGGGCCACCGGCAGGGACCAGAGGAAGCGACCCAGGCGCTCAATGTCCCCGCTCTCCTCCAGGGTCTCGCAGACCCCGGCCACTTGCTGGGGGCTGAAATTGAGGATGGGCAGCTGGAACATCGAGGCGGCGGCGGCAGCGTCTCCGCCCGGCTGGGGAGCGATGGGAGGAAGGGGAGGAAACCCACGCGCGGCGGAAGGACCCCGAGATCCCCCCCGCCCCGCACGCCCACCCGGGAATCTGGGGTACTGGGGGGATTTGCTGAACGCCGCGCGGCTCTGCTCCGCGTGCGCCTTTCCCCAGGCTCGCAGGGGCACTCGGGCGGCGGCGGCGGTGGAAGTGGCAGGGAGGGGAAGGAATTGGGAGCGCTTAGGCTGCTGTTTCCATGGGGGGAGGTGTGCGTGGGGGTGGGGGGATGGAGGAGGATGGAGGGGGGGGGAGGCGAAGAACAAGCCGCTGTTCAGATGCTGCAGGAGAAGCCTGGTTTGCTATTGGACTGGGCAGATTGGCTCCCCGGTTTCCAGGGAGGGGGCTGTCACTCACTGTCAGCCTCTGCCAATCAAGGCGGAAGGCCGCGCGCTGGAGAGATTTCAGCACCTCCCAGGACTCGACAGCGCCCAGCGTCCTTTGGAGAAGAGTTTGACTTTCAAAAGGTATTTGCAAAAGCAGGAGGAGACGCACCCACCCACCGGCACGGCGAAGAACTCACGCAGGCAGAGACGTGGGGGGATATTGTCTGCAGCTTGCCCCAGCAGCCCGTTGCTCATCAGTCCTCGCGTGCCGAGAGCTAGGAGACCTTTCCCAAATCGCAGCCTGAAACAAACCAGTCCCCCGCCTCCTCCCATCCCCACAGGCACGCGTGGGAAGGCTTTCTTCCGTGGAGAGGGCACCCTAACAAGGCCGCGAAAAGGAAAATAAATAGGGCACTTTGGGGAGCGGACGCTATCGAATTGCACAGGAGACTTGGAGTGAAGCATGCCAATGTCACCACACACACACACACACACACACACACACACACACACACACACACAC